ACTTAGATTCGTATATCTGTTTAAACTTCTATCATTTTAGATTCACTTTTCATTTGTAAGCTATGTATGAGTGTTGGATTATTCTGTGCTTGTGTTCAGTAAGTCTTTGTTAACATGAGATAACCTGGTTAAGTTGGCTCATTTTTATTCACAACTTCATTTGGGCTGGGAGAAAGGCATCTACAAGAGGAGGAATCCTATGATCCACTGGCGGCGTAGGTGAATATAGAGGGGAGATCATTTATCCCTCCTTATCCAGGAACTTGGTCATCTGGAACTGTAAAAAATTTGAGGACTTCATCAAGGGACTGGTCGAAACAATATAGAATAGTCACACTGTGTATCAAAATAACACAAAGCTTGCAGGTCTTTACCTTACTGCCTAAAGTCATCCCATTACACAGATTTAAATTTGACAAAAGCAATCGGAGCAAGTTTAATTACCGCAAATGACTTTGATGTGATTTACATCAAGGCTGATTCACATTGTTACATGCAACTTCCCACCATTGTTACTTTCCAAGTGCATTTTTAATATTAGCAGATTTTTGTTTCTGCATGTGCTCCAAGCGCTCCTGGGAAGTGACTATGCTCTCTTCAATGGACTTTAAAGTGAGTAATAAAGATAAAAGATTTCATTTCCTCATTTTGACAGCATTAGAAACAGCATTATATGCTATCCCATCGGTTCTGTTAAAATTACCCTAGTTTGTATATTTCACGGCTTTCCCTAAATCTTTCTGTGTTATATCCTGTAATTCTCACTGTGTATTCCCCTACCCTGACATTTCACTTCCTCTATAGGTGGTTATCCAATTACATTTTCCTATGAATTCTGCAGTATTAGTTGAGGTGTAACTAATAATTTATTTAATGTATTTGCTGTCTGCATCTACACCACAGACAAAACTGACACCAAGACAATAAGCAGAGAGCAGAATGTTAGGACAGCACAGCTGAGAATGTCTTTTATAGGCATCACAAAGTAAGATCACAGCTGATTTGATCATGGCCATGACTCCACTATACTGTCTTGCCCCATTCAACCCTATAACCATCAACTCTGTTATAAATCAAAAGTCTGTCTCACTCAGGAACAAAAACAGAAGTTGGTGGAAAAACTCAGCAGATCTCGCGGCATCTATGAAGAAAAAATCAGAGTTAATGTTTTGGGTCCGGTGACTCTTCCTCAGAACACTCTCACTCAGTATTGAATATATTCAGTGACCCAACTTCAACTGTTCTCTGGGTAAGAGAATTCCAGACATTAATGGCCCACAGATACAAAGTTTTGCCTCCTCTCCATTTTAAGTGGGAGACCTGTTACTGTGAAACTGCACCCCGGGTTCTCAATTCCCACATCTTCTCAGCACCTACTCTGTCAGACCCCATCTGAATCTTTTTCTGGTTCAGTAAGTTCACCTCTCACAACACTGTGCTCACGTGAGATTCAGAGAGTTATAACGCTTCTCTGAGAGCCCGTCTCCTGCCCTGCAAGAAATGCTTTCCTGCACTCGAGTCACTTGAGTACAAATGTTTGTTCACTTGCAGTGATCATGTTGTTTACATGTAATGTGATCCATAGCTTGGCACAACTTTACTGAGCAACTTAAGAGGGAAGAGTCAAGAGTGGAACAGTTACCACTGAGGCTACATGGGTAGAACAGAAACAGCATAGCTGGGATTTGACCCCATCTGAGGACACTGGGCAGTAAAATATGGCAAAATGTGAAAAACAGAAAGGAACGGTGTTATTTAAATGCTCATATGTTGGGAACTTTGGATATACAAAGGATCTGGGTGTCCTTGTACATCAATCAGTGAAAGCAGGCAGAAAGATGCAGCAAGCAATTAGGAGGACAAATGGTATGTTAACTTTGATTCCAAGCAGCTTTGTGCTCAGAAGCAGGGACATGTTACTGCAGTTAGATAGGTCATTGGTGAGACCACACCTGCAGTATTAGGTGCAGTATTGTTTCCTTACCCAAGAAAGGATTTACTTGCCACAAAGAGAGTGCAGCAGACGTTCACTAGGCTGATGCCAGGGATGACAGGACTGCCCAATGAGGAGAAATTGGTTCAGTTGGGCCTGTATTCACTAGAGTTTGGAAAGATGACAGTAGATCTGATTGAAATGTATAAAATTACAAATGGGCTGGACAGATTAGTTGCAGGGAAGATATTTACTCTAGTTAGAGAGTCTAGAACCAGGAGACACAGTCTTAGGATACAGAGTAGGTTATTTCGGACTGAGATGAGAAAACAATTCTTCACTCAATAAGTAGTGAACCTGGGGAATTATCTCCCACAGAAGGCTGTGGAAGCCAAGTCACTGAATATAATTTAGAAAGAGATTGATAAATTGTTTGATTTTAAAGGTATTGGGAGAAAGTAGCTGAGTTGGTGGCAGGCAAATAATGCTGTTCAGTAAATGTGGTCTAACTACATGGATTAAATCTTCCCTTCATGAACAAGATGCACCACTCTTGTTTATGGTATTCACTATCATTAGCAATACATTTCAATTCGTCAGACAGTCCGGGAGCCCCATTTATAGTTCCAAAAGTATACTCTAGCAGAGATGGATTGTGGGTGTACACCTTTCTTTGGAGTTTAACATTTATTAAGAGATTGAAACTGGAGATTAAAACACCTTTTCTTTCCCTGTGTAATCTGAGTAAAGAACAGAGGCTTATTGTGTGGTTACAGGGCTGATGGGCTGCCAAGCTGCTACTGTGTGGCAAACTGTCCAATCCAGCAAATGACCTCCTTGAAGCATGTGGCACTTCCAGGGGTATCAAGTAACCAAAGCATCAAAGGCTTTTGATGCCAGCTGTTACAGTGAGATCCAAATGTACCATGTGCTACTTTCAATCTAGAGTTTCCCGTGCTCTGGGGAGCTTGTAAGGAGTTATAGTCTCCATTGTCTTTGCATTTAGGCAAGTGTCTGAGCTTAGCTGAATGCTCTTCCTAACACAGCTCAGGTAGCAAACTTGACAAATATCTGCCTGCTTGCAGCCGGACACCTATATCTTATTACACTGCAAAGGGCAAATCACTAGAGGAAGCTGGAAAGGGATTGACTATTTTCCCACCCTGGCAATTTTGTTACAATATATATTTATGTATATCCCTTTTTACATGTACATACTTGCATCTTTTGACCCACTAGTTTGGCAGCAGTGTAAATCTGCATGACAATGCTCATTTATATTTACTTGTGATGGCAATCCGTCCAGTTCAAGAATTTTCATTCCATTCCGTTTTCGCTGTCTGCAGTCCATTCCGGGTGTAGCTTGTCAGAAACAAATCAGGAACATGGCAGTCCTCTCAAAGGCAAGAGCTGCCCAGTCTGTCAGCTCATCAAACAGAGGCAGCTTCACTAGTTCAGCCACATCCACAGGATGGAAGACAGTCACCTACCCAAGACTCTCTAAGAACCCAAGGGGGCAGCTGGAGACAGACAGTCAGTCAACAGCCAAAGCTCTGCTTCGATGATGCCTAAGTGTGACACAACAGCCCTTGATATTGATTTTTGTACCTGGTCACCAGTTGACAACAGAGGGAAAAGGCAGTACTTCCTGTGACCTGGAATGCACTATCACGATGGCCAATGGTTTGTCAGCAATGGCCAGCACTAAAAACGATAATCCACAACAACTTCATGTGCGGCTCTTGTGTGAGGATCTGCCCCTCAATGATTCATCTCTTCAACGATCAGCATGGATATATAAGCGGAATGACCCATCAGCTTTTGTAGATGGAAGGAAGGTGGATGGTATTTTCATGAATGTGGAACATTCCATCCCAAACTCTATTTTTTTTTTGATAATTATCTGCTATGATGTGTTGAATCAGCTAAGAATTAAAATCCTATCATCTGAATAATTCTACATCTTCCAGAAGACCATGGCCAAAAGTAGGCTTCATGTAAATCCCGTGACATTCTGAAGACTGTCCAAAGTGTCTTAATACAAATTAAGTTGAATAACTGTCGCAAAAACAGAAATTGCTGAAGAAACTCAGCAGATCCAGCAGCATTTGTGGAGAGAAAACAGAGTTAACATTTCAAGTCCAGTGACCCTTCTTCAGAACTGGACTTTCAGTCCACAGATGCTTCCAGACCTGCTGAGTTTCCCTGGCAATTTCTGTCTTTGTTTCAGATCTCCAACATCTGCAGTTCTGTGTTTTATAATAATAACAGTCGTGTGGGTTTGGAC